CTCTCTCTCTCTCTCTCTCTCTCTCTCTCTCACACACACACACACACACACACACACACACACACACACAAACACATTGCTCGTCTTCAAGGGGAGCCTCTCATCATTGAATACCACCTCCCCACCTTTCCCCCCCGCGCGCTCCCCTGTCCCCGCGCAGCTGACTGCTGATTGCTGGTTCAATTCTTGCGTTGCTTTGCTTCATGACCAGGTTGGAAAAGACCAATTGATGCACTCGTGATCAATTGGTTCGTACCCGTGATCGACTGGATCGTCGGTTATTATCGATCAATTGATTGATTGATTGATAGCCCGAACGATCGACTTGATCGCACCCATTGATGCACCCTGTAATCTCCTCCTCCTCCTCCTCGTCCTCCTCCTCCTCCTCCTCCTGGTTGATGCACTCTATAGGATGGTGACCTATTGCTAATCAGGACAGAAACCTACCTCCAAATCAGGATTACTACACCCAGCACCAATCTTCCCTTTCACGATCCTTTAGCACATAACACACAACTTCTTCCTAATCACGATTGAACAGCGAGTCGCTGCAGATGATCTATGAAGTACTGGAGACTAACTTCTTCCGTGAAGATTACTTCGCTATTCGTTCCACCACCCCCCCCGTATTGTGCACTATTATGGGTTACCGATGGGTTAAGCTTTGCAAGGAGGAAACGCGCTTGACTGCCATGTTGATCGCATTCAATCAGCTTTGGCACTGGATTGCGATCAGCAATGAACGACTCTGCATCCTCGAGAGGAGCAGCGAGAAGCTTGCGGAACATCTCGTGCGCAGGATCGTTATGGTAGCCTTCTTTCTTCCAATGAACGATTTGGGAACCATAGTGAATGACGAGATAGAACCAGGAATCGAAGAGCAAAATCTTGTCCTTGGAGATTGAAGTCACGTCCAAGAGGACCGGTACCGGAGGACCATCGAAGGAATAAGCAAGAAGGGTAGGCTGGATCATGACCAGCGATCCCGACACCCCTTCCCGATTGATCATCGTCCTGAAGTAGGCGGTCTCATCAGGGGTGTTATTCAAAGATTGCAGAAATTGGGAGCGACGGAGATGAAACATGAACTGGGGATAGAGAGTGAAATTGGCGCCAAGGCGGAAAGAAGAAGGATCATCTCTCTCGTAGTCGCCGAATTTGGCAGCAAGCCTAATTAGCATTCGATCGAGCCAACGAAGGATATCAAAGCACTCCTCGTGATCTGTCTTCCAGACAGCAATGCGGGCCATCAAGACGGCAGCTGCCTCTTGATCGAATCCCGCTGCCACGTCAGCAATCATACTCGCCTGCTGATTGCTGCCACCACCACCGCCGCCACCAAAAAACCCGCCGCCGCCTGCGGTCTCCCCCCCCCCCCCCCCACCTCCCCCGGTTCCCGACGATTCCGCCGCTGCCGCCCACCTTCGGGCAGCGGTTGTCACCCTCAACCTCCGCTCCCCGGTCTCCGCGTTCTGGTACTGCGTCGTGAACTGGATATAGAAATGCGACTCCCCGTACGGCACCGCATTGGAGTGCTGATTGACGATCTCGAAGAAGACCGCCAGCGCCGTCCTCTCGTCGAGGCAGCACAGCTGCCACGCGCACGTCCCTCCTATCCCTAACTCGTTCTCACTGACGCACGTGCTCTTCTTGTTGGCCGACGAACACGGTCCAATTACTCCGACGACCTTCACCCCCTTCGTCGTCGCGACCTCGACTGTCCCTTCAAACCTCATCGCCAGATGCCCGTCCGGATCCCGACGGAACAATCGCTGCAGCGACCTCTTGAAGATCGGCGAGGAGAACGTCTCTGCCATCACTATCAACCCCCCCGTTGAGTCGATCGCCGACTTCGCTTCTGCTACTCCCACCTGGTCCAGTGAGCAAGCAAACAGGTCCAGAACATGCCCGTTCTCCACGAGTCGTTGTGCCAGCTGCTGATAAAACCTCCGCGACCGCTTGAAGTACTTAGCGTCCTCGTTGATTAGGTTTTGGTGCGTCCGTATGCTCTCCCCAAGATCGGGATCCACTACCTTTCCCGGCCCGCACGTGCACGGACCTGCGGCAAACACCATGACTCGCCCGCCCGACTGAGGCACCGCTGTTTCCAGAAGACTCACGGCTACCGCGATCGCCGCCCCGGTCGCTCGGACAGGCCGATGTGCCCGGGGAATTGGAAACGGATTAGGTCGAAGATCATCGACGGCTGTAGTAAAGGCAAACTCGCAGTCGGAGACCGGCATCAGGAACTTGCCGATGGCGCCGCCACGTGGACCACCACCCACCCCTACTTCTCCTCCGCCGATTCGCCCTCCTCCTCCCCCTCCTCCCCCTCCTACTCCAATTCCGTGGTAGTACCCACGTGGCTGAGGGGAAGCAGCAGCGGCTGCAGCACTAGCACTTCTTGCCCCCCCCCCTCCCTCTATCCCTAGCAACTGCCTCACTTTCTCCGGCGGCAGCTCTGCATCGCCTGGCAAAACGTACGCCTTCGGGCAATCATTGAACCCTAAGTCGTGCACCTGAACCATCGTTCCAAAGCTGATTAGGCCTACCAACGCGTGGTCCGGGAGCAAGGTCAGGGTGTGATTCAATGCAGCTTTGCAGGCCTCCAAGTCTTCCTCGTCAGATTGACACGTGTCGACGACAAAAAGGAAGGCAGGAGGATAAGAAGGACGACTGCGATGAGGAGGAACCATGTACTCCACGGCGGCGCTGCCGTAGAAGAGCTCGGCGGGAAGGTTGTCCTCGCTGATGCTGGCATACGAAGGCGGGAAAGCATTTCGTTGATGGCAAAAGGGACAAACCCAGAAACGACTCTGGAAATCCACACGGCAATAAGGATTAAGAACAGCGCGGCAGCCCTTGCAAAGCACAGGTTCGTACTGAAGACGGGGAACCTCCTGCTCTGCCACTTGCTGAAGAGGAGTGCACATCAGGCCGAACGGTACGATCACTCGCGTCGCTTCTATTCGTGATGTCGGCCACGTGTTCCACGAAAACCGCAGCCCTTCCAATCCTTCCGCCTCACTGAAATCCATCTCTCTCTCTCTCTCTCTCTCTCTCTCTCTCTCTCTCTCTCTCTCTCTCTCTCTCTCTCTCGCTGTGTATGTCTCTGTACGCGTGTATGTTGCGATNCAGCTATCCCTCTATTTTCTTCCCGCCCTTCTTCTGTCCTTTTTTGCCTTTTCTTCTTCCCCTGCTTTCTCGTTTTTCCTTTTTTTTCCCCATCGGCTCTTGCTTTCTTGTCTTTGCTTCTTGGAGATCAGCCACATGAAAAAAAAAAAAAGGTCATCCAGATGAGAAAAAGTTGAAAAACTGCATTGGAGGGGAGTAAGTACCTCAAGAAGTGCGGGACAAAAGGCAGAAAGTGTCCGTCGGCAGCAAAGATCATCGCAGAACGATGGAAAAGGGGGAGGAGAGGAAGAAGCCCTTTGACACATCTATCAAGGACTATAATACTACCGTGACGCAGATCGCTAAAGCCCAGTGACACATCTATCATGGACACCAATGCCACCCTGACTATGATCTACCAGGACCATAATACCATCCAGAAGGTACATAACATAACAAACGTTGACGATAATGGCACATAGACAAGTCTCCCGTTGACATATCCCAACTTGCCTCCCTCTCTCTCTCTCTCTCTCTCTCTCTCTCTCTCTCTCTCTCTCTCTCTCTCTCTCTCTCTCTCTCTTTCTCTCTCTCTCTATGTCTCTGTGTCTGTGTGTCTCAGCGGGGTGGGGGGGGGGATGTGAACTTTTCCCGAATCTTCGGACTCACTTTTTGCCCTTTACACGTCGAGCATCCTTCCGTGGTCTTTTCTCCGTCTCATCCCTTCTCTTTCTTCCGCTATGCTTGACAGCATGCCTGTGTGAATAGTCTGCTCATCCACACTTCGCATGTACAGACTAGGATTCATTTGATAGAACCTGGACGTATTCGGAGTCACATACATATAGCACAAGTCTCTCGTACGGGTATGCCTTTATTTTCCTCAAGCAAGTGATCATAGAATGCGTAAACGGAATTTGGAGGTGCACATGCACACACAGAGGATGGGGAGAGTTGGCAGTTGGCAGGCAACACAGTAAGTCAGCACGGCGATGGAATGAAGTGGCAGGTTGCGAATGCCCTGAGAGCATACTCACACTAGGGACTTTTTCAACTCCGCTCTGGACGTGATTGCAGTCAGATGCATCCAGGTCAAGGCCGAATCGCAGTCGGATGCATTGAAGAAAGTGCCAGTGTGAGAACGCCCCGAGAGAACGTGAGATGACAGAATCATTCCCTGCACTCGCCTGAGTGCAAGCAAAGCCCTTGGGGCTGCAGAAACCAGGCTGGCATAGAGGAGGGGACCACAGCACTGCTGAGAGTGCAGCCTCGACTCTGCCCTCAACTGTGCACCGGCGGAGTATCTGCCCCACTCAAGCCATACTCACACACACCATCCGGACGCTGGCTAAATAATGCAGCCGTCAACGCAATCCCACTCTACTCTACTCTACTCTGAGAGCGCCACTCTGTGACAGCTCTTTTGTCTTTTTCCCCCTGATATTCCAACTGGTCTGGTCTGGCGATCGTTGGGAAATTCAGCTGCCCAAGCGAGTTGGACACAGAGACGGTGAGAGTGAGAGAGGATGGATGAGGAGGAGGATGTCAGCGAGATGGACAGACAGATGGTGATGATGAGAAGAGAGATGACGAGGAGGAGGAGGAGGAGGTCATGATGACAACTACTCTTTGACGAGAGGCGGGCGATGCGATTGCGGATGCCATTGCGATTGCAAGAGCACACCTCACTCATGCCCTCGGCCGTCCGATTATCATCGGCAACGGATGCACATCGACAGCTCAGTGTGTTATCGCCACATCGACTCTGCCACGTGTCCATTCCACGTTACACTTCCTGCCGCCTTTTCCACGTGGATCCATTAGACAGAGAGTGCCTTTCGTTTTTTTCTGACTATACAATTTTGCATTCGACACACAGAGAGATCCCACAGTCGGATCACATTATCCTAACGGCCGACAGACGTCTATTACCAGAGACTGCCGTATCCTTTGTGCTCTGTCATCGCACATTCAATCGAAAGACGGGATACCGACTGGCCTACCGGTACACGACAGACCTGCCAAAACAGAGACCCAAGTTCAAACTGCACAACAATCGGATGAGTGAAACACTAGAATTCTAGGGCCGGTTAGTTCGATGATGATATCTCAAGGCCGGCAGCCCAATAAGAGGGGGGGAAAAAAAGGAAAAAGGGATCCCCGTATGCCTACAATTAGGAGTAGTGATCGGGTAGGTAGTGTGAGGTGAAATAAAAACTGAGAGAAGATGGGGTCTGCCGTCATTACTAAGAGCTCTGGACGTGATTGCAATCAGGTTCATCGAGGTCTGGCCTCAGTTGCAGACGGATGCATTCTTCTTTTGTTTTGTTTTTTAAGAACCCTCATACCTTTCTCGGCCTCTTGGTGTAGTATCTGTTCTGATCAGTTCTGATCAGGTCGTTTTTGTCGGAGAGTACACCACAGGTGTCATTACGTGTCACCACCCAAGCGAGCGCCAGATCTGAGATGACGAGTTGACATGCAAACACGACATTCCAAACGGCCTGCCGTTTTTTCGGACTAACCAGCCCAGGGGCAAGGTCCCACTTGCACGGCGATTAAGAGATTATGGCCGTTGATCTTTGCTATCTACGGTCAATATCGCTTAATTCGTGTAAGTGGGACCTAGCCCCAGGAGCGAGATCCCACTAGCCTGGTACGTGGATTAGTATGACGGGTGGGGGATGGGTGGGGGACGGGTGGGGGACGGGTGGGGGACAGGTGGGTGGCAGCGTGAAATAGGGAGAATAAACGCAAACAACCATTTTTTTTTTTTTCTTTTCTTTTATTTTTTTTTGGATAAACATATAAACTTTTATTACCATGGTCGAAGAGAACAGGGGCCGGGAAATCCCACAAATCCCGAAAATAGCTGGGGCCATTACCCACATTAGGCTCCTGGAAACCGGGTCCAGTGTCCCTTCAACTATGATACATCAAAGTCCTCCAAAATAGAAAAAAAAGAAGTGGCATCTTTTTCTTTTTTTGCAAACAACCATTTGATGACCAAACAAATGAAGAAAAAACTGCTAAAAAAGAAAAGAAAGTGCTCTTCTCACGGATGGTGTCTGCTCCAGGCGGGGTGTCAGATGTCAGGGTATGATTCACTGACCATGGCTGTGGCAGTCAAGCCGACTGCATGTGACCGGGCACGTGGAACATATTCATTGACAATACTCTGAGGCCTCCTTGAAATGGGCCAGAGTGCAGGCTGCTGGGTGTTTCTGATTAGAAATTATCTTTGGCCAAGGAGGGCAAGAGTCAATCCATACACCATTTGCTGTAGGTGAGGGGATCTAACCCTCAAACCTCGCCAGCAGATCAGAGTGGGCCTAAGTAGATTTGAACTACTGACTTTACACTTATCAGGCCTAGACTCTAACCAACTGATGTATAGGCCCATGCTTGGAAAGATTTGAACCCTCAACGCCCAAATCTGTAGTTCGGTGCTCCATCCAATTCAGCTACAAGCACATTCATTTGTCCCTTTCGTCTGGGGGTATAGGACATCCCTTTTTCATGGCGAAGACACGGGTTCAAATTCCGAAAGGGATATATATGATATGATATCTATCATATCAAAGGGCCAGGTCAGGCGGGTCAGGCGGGTCAGGCGGGTCACACTACCGAAGCCTGTCAGTTGCATTAATTTAATTAACAACAAACAAAACCACACATATGGCTACAATGAATCTTCCCAGACCACGATCGATTTCCAGCGATGAAGCCATTCGTCTTCGCCTTCGCCGTGAGTGAAATGTGTGTGATTTCACGAACCAAAAACCTTGGTTGTGATTTATTATTATTATTTTTTTTTAAACAAAACAACCCGAGGTAATGCTAGTGGTGCTCGTAAGAGCAGGCAACACTAGCACCCTCGGGGTGGCTCCATCTATTGGTGGGGAGCAGCACCTGCCGGGAACCGGGCCCGGCGTCCCTTTGTTCACACAAAATGAGTTGCATGGTTGTCTTTATCGTCCACTGTACTGTTTATCTGATGAGGCTGAGTCTGTATAACTTCTGAATTAGAGATCACTCCCCTCTTACTGAAAAGCCCAGCCCCCCAGTCACCTGCTTCCAGTCCTATAGACTGCAGGTTAACTACTCCTGTCACTGGTTGTTTTACGTATCGTATACTACCCCACTATACTGTTTTCTGTAAGTACTGTATACCCCTGAATGGTCTATAAACAGCAGTAGCAGGTGTCTTTTGCCATTGATTATCCACTGATTGTCTTCATCCGCCTTCCCGGTGTTCTATGGTTCTCTGCACTGCCCTTGCTTTATGGGCAGAACAGCCACGCCTGCGAAGCACAGTGAGGGCCTTCTTCTCAGCATTATTGC